ATGAAATCTGATGGCGGATCAAATATTCGTTACCGTGGTTTGCGCGCATCCACCTCCGCAAAACAAACAGGTAACGGACAAATAGACACGTCAAGTGTCGAGTCCGTAGGTCAACGAGACTCACATCTGTAGGCCTCACATTCATAAAACCAATAGATTGGTGGCAAATAATTCTCACAATCATTGTGTGTGAAAACAATACGACTTCCGGAGGAACAATCATGGGCATAAATTAAGACAATAACAAATAAGCAAGTGATTTTTAATAGATTACCATTAATAATGCTGTAGATAAAATGAAATCTCTTTCCCCATGCAATTCTTTTCTATCCATCAATTAAAATCATGTGAAATACTTTTTAAATTTTGATGCACTTCAAAAAAAAAATTTTTTTTTCTTTTTATGATCCATATTTCATGCATGATTTAAACAGATCGCTTTCATATGCCATCTTGCCTTGATATGTTAAAAAAAAAAAAAAAATCTTATAAGTGATTAACGGCGTTTTTCTTTATGCCTGAATAATAAAGTTGATGCAAAGAGACAATATCTCTATCAGTTGACAGAAGGTGGAGGTGAACCTGCCCGTGAGTTATGCAAGCATTGTGCTACATCTGATTCGAAAAATATCGACACGGATATTAATCATCTTTCTCACGTAATAAAATGGGCATTATGTAATTCTAGCATATCATCACACAGGCTCCACTTCCTCACCTTGCGGCGATGTGTGTCGCATTCTTTATAAAGTTCTTTTTTGCAATTCTCGTGTGATTTTCATGCGAACAACACCCGGGTCAAAAAAAATAAGTTGAGACCGACAACACAAATTGCACAACACATTTTAGAGATTTGCAGCTTCGTACTTGCGTGTGCCAGAAACCTCTTAAGTTTCCTTTTATGTTGTAGTCATATTAAATGAAAACCATTCTAATAAACCTTTACCCCTGTATCGTTGAGTAGAAACAAATCAGATCTCATTATTTAAAGTCACGACAAAGACAATTTTCCTACTCCTAACTCTATATCATATAAGCCGTGTGATAAAAGAACCACGGAAAAAGGAAAGGACAAAAGCGGGGTAATGGCTCAAGGTACATCCCTTCATAGTCTCTTATGTGCATGCATACACATCTTTTCAAAGAACGAGGACGGGCAAATTCTCAAAGCAAAGATAAACGTATCAGGCAAATTTAAATAACTTTCACAAGTATGGTTATATGTGTCAGCATAGGTAACCCTTTTTGAAGGCTGTGTGAATTTTGGGGGTCATAACCGAGGTTCACATACAAGCTCGCTCGAGGAGTCATTTCTGGGTCCAGAAAATTGTTTAGCCACTTCAGAGAAGGGGTACTGTGGATAAGCCACAATTGAGTGAAATATGAGCATGTGACAAATTCTCCGTTATTGTTCACATCCCAACATATACAGTATTTTTAATATTTTTGCGTGAATTGTGGAGGGTAGCGTATATCGCTGCATTGCTACGTTTGCTTTAACAAGTAGTCCCTTGTGTAATCTACGTAGCTTTCTTCACACACCGCTCTTTGCTTTTCAAACACTTTGAAACATGATAATCCATTAGACGGTATTTGGTGACATTAAATCAATAGACACAACCATAATAAACTTACTTTTAAGTTCTCCGTCATCCAGTTTCTCGATAAAATCTTTATGATCCTCGTAAAATCTTTTTGCTCGATCATAAATCTCCAGGCTTCGTATTTTTTTGCTCTGTTAAATATGGTGTAAAGCATTAGCTCTTGATGTCGGCGAAAATGATCAACCGATTAATTATTATTACCTTCATGAGTACTTCGATTAACTCGGCATCCTCATGCCTATCATTAAAAAGAATTGTCAAAGATAATGCGAATCATATGTTTATGAGTCTGAACAAGGGAAGGATACAATTCAAGATATTTTATGGCAAAAGTATAAAATTGTGGGCAAATTCTACGCAGATTTACGTACAACGGATTAACTTTCAACGCGTTAATAATTTCCATTTCCAAAAACTTGGGCCTTTCCATTTTTGCTAGTTTTCTGAGACAAAGTTCAGATATGATTCTTTACAGGAGGAATAATAAATGAAATCACAAAGAACTATGTTTAAAAACTTCAACCTTTTCTCCAAGGCAGCGGCTACATAAAATGGTATTTCGATTTTGTGTTCGTTTGCGTCAACCTACGCAAGTAAAAAAATCGCTTGAAAGTCGGACTTCGAACTATTCGCAGAAAAGAATTAGCTCGCTTACTGGGTCATACGTACGATTGATCGAGTACTCCCTAAAATGTTTTCTAATCCTGGAATTTTTTGTTTTAGGGTAACAAGAACCTTCTTTAAGGTGTATATTCTTCATTATCAGTACAATATTTTTGATCTCCAAAAATCAATTGTTGCATCGGCGTGCAAAATAATTTAATCGAGTAATGAATACCGTCTCTTTGGCGAGAAATTGTTCAATGTTTTGTTCCGACATTTTTGGAGTGTGAACGTGCGGAGAAAGTAAGTCGCGTAAAAGTTGGTTGATGTATTATCAACTGTCATGTGATGTATGCGTCTAAAAAAAAAAAAAAAATTTTTTTTTTTTTTTTCATCAGGAATTTCCGAAATTGTCTTGTAACAATGCGATGCCTTTTAAATTCCTGCAAATGCAGTGCTCTTAGAACTGGCAAGTTATCTAGATGAAATAAAATGGTCTAAATTACGTCTAAAATTTCTTGTTTTCTCGATTTCGTAGGCTTTCTGTCAGACGCAAGACACTTTTCAAACGCTTCAAAACTACACCAATCGATTACCGGTAATCAAAATGACAATAAATTCAATGGCATTTATATTACTCGTGACATTATCAATTCCAGGAATTTCATTGTTAGGCATTATACATCATCGCATGGCCCTCCTTCAGGACAAAGGGTCAGCATAAACGATGATCGCCCTCACAAATCTGCATCGTCAACGGATCAATGGAAGTTCCTGTTCGAAGATACCACCGGTGAAGAACATAGTAATTTTGACAATAGGCTTCGTCGAAGGAGATCGGCGTTGCCAAATGAATTCCAAAAGAAAAGACCCTCTCCTAGGTTTCAAAGAATGCATCCATCAGAAAATGCCAGTTATAGACCAGGCAGATTACCATCGTCGATTGATCCCCATAGATTTGAAAAGACGTCGTCACCGCCTAGAGGCAAGGATGGCGTTTCACCTGAAAATGAGTACCCATGCATACAAAGATTGATGTCAGGTACTGACAAAGAACCATTTAAGAGAATGTTTTCGAAATTGTTTGATCAACCCAGACCTAGCGCAAACAAGGTTGTCCCTATCGCACCCATACCATCAAAACCTGAAATAAGGAATAAAACGGATGAGACAGAACCCCCAAGCAACATTGGCCTTATTGAAAAGCATCTGTCAGATTTCGTAGAAAGTGGTAGTGTCATAAAAAAGCCCGCGAATAAAGAGTCGGACGTAACAAAATGGATAAGAGAACGTTATGAATTTCTTCCCTCGCTATCGTCCATAGCTGAAAAATTGACTCGGCACAATCTGGCGATACCACAAAAAGACAGAGAGATATTCAAAAGAGAAATATCCCAATGTCAGTCACTCGATCAACTTCGTGACCTCTTATTTCAGCGGTTATTCGGCGGAAAGGTATCAGCAATTGGCGTAGATGCTAATGGTTCCTCGGACTCTTTCTCGACTACCGAATCGAGATCGCAAGCAACAACCCACATAGTAGATGATTTTGGTTTACCGATTCCATCAAATTACTCATCGCTCCTTCAAGAGGCCATCTCGGCGTGTCACACTCTTTTCAAGGATCCTTACCTGGCGTTCTCCATACTAGAACAGATTAAACGAAGAGGTACGGTTTCCTATGTTCTCGGTTGTAATACAAAAGTGTACAACGAGTTAATCTTGATCAGATGGAATTATTGGAAAGACCTGTGTGGCATTGAAGAATTGATGGACGAGATGGTCTCAAATGGGATAGATTTTGATCAACAAACTTTCTACATTGTCAACAATGTGATTTCTAAGGAGATTTATGGTGGCAGTGGCGGAAAAGACGTAAATGTTGAGCGGAGGATTGAAAAGTGGGATGAGATTGACATGGAAGCCTTGAGGAACATCAAAAAGATTTTGAACGTTTGGGGTCAAAGTTGATACATGTACGAATTTGAGTGAACAAAGATTTTTTTTATTCTATAAATCTCATCTTATTACACAAGATAATTGTAAAAAGTAAATAAAATATCTCTATTTTACTCATCACCATTATATTATACTAAAATGGAAGATCCGGCGGAAAAAACACTTCACCATAATCAACTTTACTATTTCCCTGACTAGACTTATCTCCCTTGACCCTATTTCCCGCACTCTTTGTTTCATTTTCATACACAACATTCCTATCTTCAACATATTTACCGTGGACCATGTGATTATAATAATAATGAGGTGGCAAATAATATGTTGGAAATTGATGGTAATAGGAAAGGTGATGATGTAAAGGATGTTGCTGATAATAATATGAATCTGTGTTGTGATACCAATTCTCAAATTGTTGATTTCTATAATAATCAAGGTATTGATAATATCCATACTGATGATCATCCTGTTGATAAGGTTTGCCATTTGCGAGAGAATTGTCCTCAACTCTCCCATCTTCCACCAGGGTCTCTTTCTTCTTTCCCTTGTTCACGTGTGCGGTGTTGTCAGATTCTTCAGAAAATATAACTGGAGGAAGCTCCGGCATTTGGGTCTATAAGAATAAAAATTTTTTTTAATCGAATAATAAAGAAATAATATAATATAATATAATCGAATAACAAACGCAAAAAGGTGTTACTATACCTTGATAGTTTCTCTTACATCTAACAATTTTTCATAGGCTTCTTTATCATTTTCCGTTGTCAATGGTCTTTGATGATGTTTGTATGACATTTCATCTGTTATCAAGAATTATTATTAAGGGTTCATAAGCGATTGGAATTTTGGTGGAAAATCTTGAAAGATTGTAATCTACCTGGAAGTGTGCTGATGTCAACATGGTAATTCTGTTTTAAATTGTTCAAGAATTCTAGTCCATCACTATCGACGAAGCTAATTGCCAATCCATGGGTTCCTAATTTACAAAATATTTCGTTAAACACCGGGAAAGTTGACATACACTTTGAATAAAAATTGCCTACCATACCGTCCTGTCCTTCCGACACGATGCAAATAAGTTTCGGCATCTTTGGGCATATCCAAATTCACAACCAGATTTACTCTGTCTATGTCAATACCTCGTGCTATCTTTA